CCCCCCCCCATCCTTCGTCCTGTCTTCCCCACCCCCAACCCCTTCCCTATCCTTTCCCTTCCTCATCCCCAAAATTCTTGCTTGTCCTCTCTAGGGAACTTTGTGTGGGTTACTGGCATGCACACTGGATGGCAGTGATGTGAGCGGCAGCCGTGCTGTGGCATGAAGATTCTGATGGTTTAAAGCAAAGAGACGGGTTTTAAAAAGAAAGAGAGAGGCAAAGGGAAAGGAAAAAAGGAAAGAGAGAGAAGAAAACAGCTGGAGAAAGGAAAAGGAGGACGGTTGTTGATGACAAAAGGATGGGTAAGTGAACTTTTCTTGTTTGTTTCTTAGCACAGCTGCAGCTGTAGGGTCTATTTTTCAGCTGGATTATTCGCTGTTGGAGAGGGGGGAACAGCCTCAGCAGCAGCAGTGCATCCCTTTGCCAGGTGACTCACTGTACTCCCTGTTGTATTTTTAGATCATGTATCCCCCCCCCACATGCACGGACACACCTTGCCTCCTGCAGTGCTTTTCCATGTAATTAATCTGTAAATGCATGCACGGAGTTAGGGACTGGAGAGAGGACGTTCCCTGTCTGTCCAACCCACCCACACACCTGCACACGGACAGAGAAGCCCATGGATGCATGAGGCACGCTCGCACCAAATTTCTTCTGGGTTTCTATTCCTATTCCATGAGCCTGTCGTGGTGTTATCCAGGCTGTCAGGAAGGACTGTTAACACTTTGCAGTATGTGGGAAGCAGAGGGGAGGGGGTGATCTTCTTGTCTAGGTGGTTTACAAAAGGCTTGTTTGGGATCTGAAAAGATACCCCTAATGCTGCTGCTAGATTTCCAGCAGTCATTTGCCAGTCTTATTTTTTCAAGCGTGACAGGTTTATTTCCCTCCCTCCTTCCCCCCAGCCCCCAAGTCTGTAACAGCCAGAACATATTTCTAGCTGGCTGCTGCTGGCACATAGGCAGTAGGAAAAGATGAGGATTTAAATTAAAAATCTAACCAGTCAAGTGAAAGGCAGAGACACATAGTCAGGGTCATTTCAGAATAGGAATTATTTTGCAGATTGCCCCCTGGTTGAAAATTGGATTAAATAACTGCAGCAGAGGGTTGGTTTTCTGTGTGTGACAAATGATAAAGTAATTATTTATTGAGGAGATACCGGCCCTTAAAATATTCCCTGTTGAAAGAATACATTTTAATTCTGAGCTGGATTGCAACTCTGGACAGAGGCAGCAGTCCTAAAATTATTACAGGCTAAGCAAAGCATGCATATGGATGTTGGATTTTCTGACAACCCCTCCACTCCCTTTCATAATTATTCAAAGATTGTGGAAAATGTGACTGTCCTCACGTAACAGCATTGCTACTATATGATAAACTTGACGTCTCAAATGCAAAAATCTTAAAATCAGTATTGCCGTGGAAGAGAGAGGGGAGTTGATATGGAAATATACCCCTTTCAACTTTGTGTTTTGCTGCTCCTAAGGCAGTGTTTATAAGTCTTTGTGTGTAGATTTTCATAGAGTATGTCATGTATATACAAACTAATAAATGCTTGGGTATTCACAGCTACGTGTAGATAACTTTAGTAGGTGGTAAGAAAATGATTTATTTTAAAGAAATATGTCTTCTGCCATTGTGTTGTATTGAGGTCCCATACTAGCGTTATAGTGTATACTTCTTCATATGGTTGAACTTTGTTTCAGTGCATCTATATTTTAGGTACGTAATGAGTAAACCTCCTTAAACCTGCTCCTAAAAATGAATCACTCAGTGCAAAAAGTAGAGCCTTTACTTACTGTTCAATTTTACAGTAAATGCACATTTTAAAGATGGATCAAACTTTATGGTAAGTAGATTTCTCACTTTTTGCAGTGATTTTTAGAGGAATTGGACTTGCAATTGCTTTTATTAAAGCAACACACAAATACCAGCAGCTTTGGCTCATTTCCTTTCCAGCACTATGGAGCATTCAGCACAGTGACTTGACAAATATGTTTATTGTTAAAACCTCAGCATCTAGTGATAAGGATATACCAGCTACACTTAGAGATGATGTACAGGAGAAAAGCGAGGAGAGAACAGGCTCTTGGTCCTTCTGAGGGATCATAAATCGCCCAAAAGTAATTGAATAACGAGAGCAGTGCTGGTGATGGTGTGGGTAGGAGAGGTGGCAAGGCAGACTCTCAACAGAAGAGACATTTCCACACACAAAGTGCAAGACAGGAGGCAAACAGGTTGTCTCCAAAATCTGCTGCTGCACTGGTGCTTTATTAGAAACCCCCTTGACGTTAGTAATCTGCTGGCGATTTATTTTAATAGCTTGACAATGCACATTTGTTTCCTTTTTAATATTGTAGGTTTCCATTTAATTAAGCAGCTGAGAGGCATGAGCGTGGTGTTAGTGCTACTTCCCGTGGTGCTGTTTGTTCTGCTCGCCGGGGCTCAGCGAGCGTGCCCCAAGAACTGCAGATGCGATGGTAAGATCGTGTACTGCGAATCTCACGCGTTCAGAGACATCCCTCAGAATATTTCCGGAGGGTCTCAAGGCTTATCGTTACGGTACAACAGCATTCAGAAGCTTAAATCAAATCAGTTTGCGGGCCTGAATCAGCTCATATGGCTTTATCTTGACCATAATTACATCAGCTCCGTGGATGAGGATGCATTTCAGGGGATCCGCAGGCTGAAGGAATTAATTCTAAGCTCCAACAAAATTACCCATCTGCACAACAAAACGTTTCACCCGGTCCCCAACCTCCGCAATCTGGACCTCTCTTACAACAAGTTGCAGGTGTTGCAGTCTGAGCAGTTCAAGGGCCTTCGTAAACTCTTGATCTTGCATTTGCGGTCTAACTCGCTGAAAACTGTGCCCATTCGAGTTTTCCAGGACTGCCGAAACCTTGACTTTCTGGATTTGGGCTACAACCGCCTGCGGAGCTTATCCCGTAACGCTTTCGCTGGCCTTTTGAAGTTGACAGAGCTCCACTTGGAGCACAACCAGTTTTCTAAGATCAATTTTGCCCACTTTCCACGCCTCTTCAACCTGCGCTCCATTTATTTGCAGTGGAATAGGATCCGGTCTATTAGCCAAGGGTTAACGTGGACTTGGAGTTCCTTGCACAACTTGGATTTATCAGGAAATGACATTACAGGGGTCGAACCTGGGACCTTCCAGTGCCTCCCCAACCTGCAAAAGCTGAACCTGGATTCCAACAAACTCACCAACATCTCTCAGGAGACCATCAATACATGGATCTCGCTCATCTCCATCACTCTGTCTGGAAATATGTGGGAATGTACTCGAAGCATTTGCCCTCTCTTTACTTGGCTTAAGAATTTCAAGGGAAATAAAGAAAGCACTATGATATGTGCAGGCCCTAAACATATCCAGGGTGAAAAAGTGAGCGACGCTGTGGAAACATACAATATCTGTGCTGAAATCCAGGTGGTGGTTACTGAAAGATCATACCAGCCACCCAAAACCCCCCAGAGACCCGTCTTCATTCCCAAACCTACCGTCTCCAAACTTGAAAGCTATCAGCCAACGTTGGTGATGCCGAGCCCTTCTGCAGAGCTCCCAACGCCTGCAGTGGAACCAGAGTACGAGCACGTTTCCTTTCACAAAATAATTGCTGGGAGCGTGGCCCTCTTTCTTTCCGTGGCCATGATTTTGTTGGTTATCTACGTCTCGTGGAAGCGCTATCCGGCCAGCATGAAACAGCTCCAGCAGCACTCTCTGATGAAGAGGCGCAGGAAAAAGGCCCGCGAGTCTGAAAGGCAAATGAACTCCCCTTTACAGGAGTATTACGTGGACTACAAGCCAACAAACTCTGAGACCATGGATGTATCGGTTAATGGATCTGGGCCCTGCACGTATACCATCTCTGGCTCCAGGGAATGCGAGGTATGAACCATGATCCTCCTAAAACCATTTCAGCTGCTGGGAAGGAGAGGTAAATGTTTGAAGCTCCTGAGATGTCTCTAAACACTAGAAAGATTAATGAGATGTTTTGTTTGGTTGGTTGGTTTTTTTTTTGCTTTTGGGTTTGCTCAGTATGAAAGGTTATCTCGTTAAATAACAACAGTCAGGGAAGGGGTGGTGATTATGTTGAATAATTCAGACTTATAAAAAAAAGGTTAAGTAAACAACTGTGATAAAGGCATCTGGAGTGTTATTCTCCTCCTGTTTGCACCCATTTTATTCACAGTGGCTACAAGAGAGTCCTATTTTTAATGTATGGGTAGAAACAGAGGAGCTGAAGAACGTTTTCTGTTTTAAAAATAAATATGGAAAGCTCTTTACTGCAGACCTCGCATCGAATCTCGAGGGGTTTGTGGCCTATTTAAAGATCATGTCAAAGATTTTCTGCATTTTCTGTCTGGTTCAGGAGCAAAGCAGGGGACAGCAGGACTGCAGCTCAGTTCTCCTGGAGGAGCAGGAACGACAAGCTGCCCCACCAGCTCCTCTGCTGAACTGGAGCCTTGTGAAGGCCCCAAGTCCAACAGGACATTTGCAAATGTCTGGGTTGGGAGAGGGAGGTTCTTGGGGATTTTTGTTTCATTTTAATGATCGGTGAAGGCTTAGCTTGAGAGACAGCTCTATTGAGTTGATAGTTTCATGTGCTTAAGGCCATGTTATGGTTTTGACTCAGCAACATGGGAAATACGAATAGCAAAGGTTCTCAGTGCTGCTTTTGTCTCTTATTCAGCTTTAGCAAGAAAGTACCGTATTTTTTCATTGCTGTGTTGTCAGTGACTCTGTTAATGCATATCTAAAAATGTTTTTACTTGTGAATGCCATTGCTTACCTGTATCCGGTACGGAGGAGTTGTGCAATTGCACCCAGGACTTGTTATCACTCCTGCACGTGAGGTGGTGTTGGGGGACCACGGCTCATTCGGCTGCTTTGGATGTGGACATCCTCCCTGAGAGGGCTTGAAGGTCCCTGTTGAAACGTATTCGTATCCCTTTCTCAGGTTGGGTTTGACTGTGGATGACTTTGACCGATGTCTTTGACAGCCAGGTGGTGTGAAGGGGGTGTTACAGCTGAGCAGCGGTGAGCAGGCTGCAGCTCCAGGATCCTGACTTGGGATGTTTTCACTTTCTGACAGTAGGGCGTCTTTACGGTGTTTCATATGTGGCACCTGAAATCCCTAGCTGATTTTGGACCACGGAGCTAAGGGGAAGAAAAAAAAAAAGTGTATGTTTTGGGGTTGCTTTCTCTTGAGCAGTGTTGTCTTACAAAAAGCCAACCATCTGTCCTACCCCTGTCATTTCTGCCAGGATCATGTGAATGCAGGGGTGGGGGTTTTTCTGTTAGCAGCACAAGTAGAAAGTAACTGATGCTAACAAAGTTATTTTGAATTTTCACTGGCTGTCACAAAGAGCATTAATTTGACCTGAAAGGCTGTCTCATCTTTGTGCTCAAGTTTAATGCTGCTGAAGTGTCATTAGCTGGAATAAAATGCTGTTTAATTTACACCAAGATGATTTGGAAGACAGCTGAATCTGCACGCCATGGCTGAAAGTCCATGTAATGAAACCATAACCTGTGATGGAATTTGGATCATGGCTGGAGTGCACAACAGACAGGGAATATGTTGATGACGTTTGGGAGACTGAAATTTGGATAATTTGGATTATGGCAGATAAATAAAAACGTGAAGAGTCCTACCAGGTCTAGGAACAGAAGGTCATTGTGGCATAATTTCTTCCTGCTGGCTGTCACACACAGCATTAAACACCAGGGGACCCCAGTTCACCTGGTTTCCAGGTGCTGTCAGAGTTCCAGAACAATTTTATTCCGCTGCTTAGGTGGAATTTTTTTTATTCCACTGTTCGGGTTCAGTGAAGCTGGCGCACAACTGTGCAGAACTCAAGCTGTTTGTCGTGTTGTCTGTGGGGTTCCTGGTTACGGTGTAAATCAGCAATACCATACGGAACGTGACCGTGCTGTCCCAGGCTGTGACTCGCGACAGTACGCGCTGTATTCCCGCGGTGATGTCGCATGCTTTGGCTGTTGGTACAGAAGACTTCAGGAGACAGAAACCAGGAGCTCGTTGAAGGCACATGTAGCAGCCGTAAGCCCCCACTGAAATGCTATCTTCAGCCTGGGTTTGACATTCTTCGTCTCCATAGCTACAAGGTTCCACTTGTGAGAGGGTAGAGACGCACTATACAGTTCTTAAAAATGGTAAGGGAAAGAAATCCTGTCTTCAGCAGTGGAAAGGTTTTGTGTTTGAGGAGAAAAACAAAAATGGAACATCTTGTTATTTACTAATTTACCCAGCTGTACATACTTGGTGGGAAAACTATTATTTTGTACAAGTGAGACGTAGCTGGGGTCCATCCTCTTGTAGGTCTTTCTCATTCTTTGTGCTCAGAGCGAGGTTCTCCAAAAAAAAGAACCACTTACAGGGGAGAAGTGTCTGATTATCAAAGCGAAGGCAGCGGAGGTTTCAGAATTCATTGCTTACAAGTTTATTGAATTTACTTTTCAATCAATATTTTTCAAGTGGCTGTCTGCGTTCACATGTCTACCCCCACATGTGCCTGCGAGCAGCTAAGGTTCCCAAAAATTGTGTCTTTCAGGAGAGAAGAAATGGCTTAGTTCCATTTTAAGCTGGGGAAGATGCCTGTTGCTTGTAGCTGGTGCTGATGGATGGTTTCTGAGTGTAGCCCAAGGTCGTGTGGGAATGTAACGGGTATGCTCAGTGTTTTGGTTTTGGAAGGATCCAGCTCATCCCATCCACAAACCACTTGTTTTCCATGGCACACCTGGCCTTGAAATAACATGCTCAGGTATTTCTGCAGGTTCTTTTTTTCACAGCAGCTACACCCATGAGCAGGGTGATGTTTGTTGGTGGTGTTTGAAGCTCAGTGAGATTTCTAGCGTGTACCAGAGCAACATGGGTGCATGAGAGCTGCCTTGCATCGGGTCCTTACACCTTGAGTAGGGGAGCTGCAGGTATGGTTTGTGCGGCTGCTTTCTCCAGTCCATGCTCTATGAATTATTTCTTATTCTACAGAGAGAGAGCCAAAGCCAGGCTTGCTGTAAATGGGAGCAACTCTCTTGGCATCAGTGGGATTATAATCACTGACACCTGGCCTGTGCTATTCTGTTTAGTCTATTGGCAAGGGTTGCTGAAATCACTGGATGCTTGTGATTTTGGCTCTCACCAGCCAGTTAGCAGACTGCTGCTACCTCATTTTGGTGTTTGCTTTTGTGCATGTGCATCTTATTCCCTTGCTTTCGTATTTATTTGTACATTTGCTGAAGATCTGGGAGCCATAAAAAGTGATTTCATAAACCAAGCTATAATATTGTGTATTTCATACGTATCACACACAAACGATCTGTGTATAGCACGCTGGGCAAGGATGGGGGAGAAGGAACAGTGCTACGAAAATGTTTCCTCCTTTCCACTGGCAGATTATTCATCTCCCGTTTCTCAGGCTGGCAGCTACAAACCAAACAACAACCAAACAAGCGTGAGCATCTTTGCTGTGCTGACTGAGCGCGGCTGATGTGAAGCCCTTTGAGAGGCGGTCGACACAGACCCTGCGAGGTTCCTCTTTACACTTTCTCTTCTCAATGTCTAACCATACCCAGTGCCACCTGTTCACAAACCAGCACACCTCTGCTGAGATGCTCCCGTGTTCCCCATGGAGTGAAAACCAGGGCAGTTGTCACTTGTATTCATACACAAAATTACGTTCACTTGGAATCCTGCTGCCTCCCCTCTTGCTAGGGAGAAGCAATAGCCTGGTGAAGGAATGCAGCATGTACAGACATGGTGGGCTGCTCTTGACCCTCCTGTGGAGCCTAATTTAAAAGGAAATGTCAGTGTGCCACTGTTCTTTATTATTTATTATATTGCTGGGTTGTTTTGAACAAGATGCAAAAAGGAAAAATACAAAGTGGTCTCCGTGGCCCAGATGGTGTTTAGCTGAGGTTCCAGTTCTGCGAGGATGCTCATGGTTCTGTAACTGCGGAGCAGCTGCCCAGGGGCTACGCATGAGCTGATGGGGTATTGCGACCTCGGGAGGGAAATAATTCAAAGATTTGGCTGAATTTTTTTTTTTTCTTTGAGAATGGTGATTGTGTTTCCTTTGGACATCAGCGTTATGTTTTTATAAGAAATACTTAGCAAGGACTTCATGGCAGAGGCATAAGTTCATTACAGCTTAGAGGAGTGCAAGAGGAAGGTGAGTGCATGGGTCCATTGCAAAGAGAGAAGGATGCAGGAGGTGAGGGCTGAGGAGTTAGGAATTGTTAATTACATGGCGTGATGTCATCATTTTAGGGCCAAAGCGGTGTGGTTGTCCTTCCAGTGACTCTGTTTTGGAACACTGGAGGATGGGCATTGTTAATTTAGTTTTCTTATGTCCTGCTGTACTCTGTTTCCTCCTCTGCATCTCTCTCTCAACCTCTCCGCGACTGTAGATGGACATTACAGTCTTGCTTGAGTTGTGAACTGCCGGGTGAGTCAATCCGCCGCACCTCTCTCATAAGCTCGGTGTTTGTACTGGGAGAGTAAGCAGAGGCTTAGCTGGTAGCGCTTTTCCTCAGTGCAGTGTATCTGGAAGAAATATGTCAGAAGGGGCTCAGAGGTAAAATCTTTCAGGCACAGCACCAGTGAGAGGTTTGTGGAGAAGGTAAATTGTAGAAATCTCTTCGGGATTAGGACCTAAGGTAGAGATCTGGGTTTGTTACCATCCAGAGCCTTCGTTAGCATTGTGTACTTGTTATTGCGAGTATAATGTCTGTGTACAGAGGGTTGTGCTGTGGAAGTGCCAGTGATGCAGCAATAAATGCAAAGGGGCATTTTTTCCTGGGCTCAGAACTCGTAAAGTGTGAGATTTCCCAAAGATATTACCAAATGACCAGCTGTGTTTCCAGAAGAACTC